TTAGCAGAGACCACCGGTATCGCGTGACAATTTCATCAGGATATTGGAAGAATAGGAGGGATTGAGGTCAATCACTGGCACTTTTTTATTTTATTTTAAATGGTACAGTACACTTTATGTTGAACTATTTATTATGTTGTTGGTGCAACTGGCACTTTATGTTGAACTGTTTATTGTTTTGGCCAAGGTTATTGAGAGAGTTGGACTGAAATTGATTAGATTTTTTAAATCAACTGTTGGTAAATCAACAAAGTCTGTTATGGCCTCTGAAGCAACAGAGAGATGTTTTCTAATAGTCAGGGTTTCCAATGTTCTGAATGTACTTGAAAGTATTGTGTTATACTTAAAAAACAAAGTGTTATAGTTTACAGAAGGTCTACCTACCTATAGGCTACCTGAATCTCTGAAATGTACTATATTCCTAAATATGCTATTGCTACACTTTATGGCAAAAATTGCACTTTTCTGTTGGTCTTGGTTAAGTACATCCTTGAAAAGAATAAACAATGTTTTGTTGCTTAAGCTTATGTATTCAGTCATTATTCAATGGTATACTAAAATCCATGTGAAAAAAATTGCTTCTCACTGTTCTCAGGTCAAATATTTATATGTGATAAAAAATGCGATAAATTTCGATTAATTAATTACAAAGCCTCTAATTAATTAGATTAATTTTTTTAATCGAGTCCCGGCCCTACTTTTAATTACAAATCTAAAATACAGAACATTTACACTGTTTGAGTTTGGATAAAGACGGATACTGAACACAGCCCTCCTGAGTATCTGAGGTTAGATGGGTAACTTTGATATGTTGCTTTCACCGTGCACCGTCTCTTTGTGGCTTGTTTTTTTATTGAATTTCCTAATGCCGCCTTTTTTAAACTTGTAGAGCATTTCTAGTGTTTAATTTATTAGGTGTGTTTTTTTCTTACGAAAACTGCAAACTGCGAAACGAGGCATAGCTAAAAAATGATCTGTTTGGTATTTTGAAAAATATAATGTATAAATATACCTTATATAGGTATGGTCGTCATACACTATATCATTTAAATATAGCATGATAGGTCTCCTTTAATGAGATGCATGGGAGGTCCAGGAACATACTAACGTTAAATGCTGTGCGTGAGTTTGAATGTATTTGTTATGTAAATGGGGTGTGGGCAGATATGATTTTCAGGATCAAGCCAGCGAATTAACTGATCAGAACTGGAGGGTGATAGAAAGAAGATAATTAGCTTAATGAATTAGCGCCTTAGTAATGAAAGTGCATTGATCTTTGTTCATCAATATTCTGCAGATCAGCAGAGGGCTGGGGGAGGCAAAGGTAACACAGTGGGATACACAAACACATTTGCGTAACTACACCTCTAAGGGCCCTCCATTGACTCGCAGCCCTCCTTAACCCAGTTGGAGCTGGACTAGGATGAATACATTATCAGTCACTACGGCTTTAGACCCAAGCAATCGAATCAGCTTGTTCCCTTCCCTTTAAAAGCACTGCTCTGATCATTTGGTATTATAATAGGAGCATTCTCTTCCTCTAGCAAAGCTTCTCCCCTGAGGAAACTGTGCCCATGTGCACAGAGCAAGCACATATACAGCGCCTTCCATTAAAGCAGGAGATAACACATTTGGTTAATTTGTTTTTGCTCTGGTCCTAAGCGAACGGTTGCACAGCGTATGAAATGGCCTGATGATTTTAAATGGTTCAATGATATTAGATGAAAAGGAATATAAAAGTTGGAGCCAAATGGCGGGGACAGTTTGGTTCCATCTGGGGTCTTCTATCAGCCAATCCCTGCTCTCTAGAGCAGACAGTTTGTCTCCACAGTCTTTATCAGCGTGTCATGGTGCTGACTGATGGTTGTATGTTCAATAAGATTCATGCTACATACATATTAGTAGGAATTACACATCGTATATTAGATTGTTTTCTGATGAGTTCATTAAATAAGTAAGATAGAAATGCAGGTGCACACAAGCACAACTTATTGTCATGAATGTTTACAGCATAGGATAAAGGAATAACACATGTAGGAGGAGTCATAGATGGGATTATAAAAACGGAATTACTTTTGGATTAGGAGCGCATCTCAAAATGTGCAATTAAACACGTTTAATCCATATTTGTTCAATTTGAACATTAATACAATTTTGGTTGGTTGTTTGTTGAAAATAAAAATACATATTTGGTTCTGGTAAAGATTTTGAGCAGCTTCAGGTTGTCATTACATTTAAATACATTGAATGTATAATATTTTGATATCAAAAATCAATATTGTAGTACAAATCATGATAGATAATGCTCAATCATAAGTAGAGTTCATACGTACATACATTTTTAGACGTAATACAGTGCTGAATTTGCTGACTATGCTGGAATATATATCATGTTAAGTCTTAAATGTTTAATTCCATTGCAAAATGCACAAACAAAATACATTTTCAATCTAATTCTATGACATATATTGTACATGTTGTACATACATGTATTGAAACAAGTTCCATCCATGAAGTACTGTGTGGGGGTTTGGGCAAATACATAATAAACAATCAGTAATCCAAATGTTTATCTGCAGAAGAGAGAGATACTGTATACAATTGTACAAAGAGGTTTTTTTCCTATGAACCCATAAATGTTTGAGGTACAAATGTAGAGATTTAGTGGACCATATGATTAATGTTTAGTTGAAATGAAGATGCTTCAGACTCTCTGTACAGTAATTGTTCCAATTCAAAGTGAATCACTATGAACAAAGAGGAATTTCATATTTACAAATTAAAAAAATACTGAAACAAAGATGCAGGGCATTCAAAGGATGAGTTCATTTGTGGACTGGTTTTGAAAAAGATATGGACATGTCTAATACAATAAATGGATTTATAACAATATATAAAACTGAAGTATAAACACTGGTGTGTGTAACTCTTAAAAGACAGTGAGGAGGAACAACACAGAGAAATAAAAGCAGCCGTGCATTGAGCGAAATGTAGCTGAAACTACTTATGTTTTTATGTTGTTATGCACTATTCTATCCAAAAAGAAAATTCTTACAATGTTGTCTAAACCTTTATTCAGGGGAGTTTCATTGGGAGCCCAGCGTGATGACATTATCAGGGTTATTCTGCTCCATTCAGAGCCACAGAAAGGCGTGTACAGTGGTTTCCACAAGCTCCACAGTGCTGTGTAACAAGTAAGCTGATCTTAATATATCAAATCGTGGAGTGCACCTTTTAGGAGCTGGCCAGAGGGACCTTGTCTCATAATACCAAATGGCTTTGCACAAGGATAAAAAAGAGCAGCCTCTGGAAGAGCTGCTTTACCGGTTCAAAGCTCCACCTGGCTACAAGCACCAGCTTCAAATCCAAAGCTCTAATCTTGAGCTAACTTAACCCAAAAAAAAAACAGATCTAAGGTGTAAGACACAGCCCTTTAGGATGCTGCTTTCGCCACAGCTCAGAGAAACAATGTGAGGAGGCTAACGTGCGGAGCGATGCCACAGCTGCTGTCAGGGCCTCAGTGCCACAAACACTGATTGACTGCACCTACAATTTACTTGCTTTCATGTTTGATTTATAACAAAAAATGTATCTGCATTCAATTTGACTTAACAAATTGATCCTTAGACAGCCACAGAGACCCATGTTTGTCTTTTTTATAGAAGTGGTTTAAAACATCTGGTTTCTTTGAGATGTGTTGAGTGATAAAATCTTTAATAAAATGTGTTTTGTATGCATTGTCTATTAAGTCTGAAATAGTTGTTGATGCAATTTGATACATACATTTCACACCAAAAGTTGAACCATTTTTAACAATTTAATTTGAATTGATTAATTGAACACCACATCTGCAATAATGCTGTGATTTGGGATCAAAGCTTTAGTGTTTTCTGCAAAACATTTG